CTTTCTTGGAGCTGCTTCAGGCACTGGAAGCTGCTCTAAGGTCTCCCTGGAGCCTTCTCTTCTCCAGGCTGAACACCCCAACTCCCTCAGCCTCTTTGTAGCAGAGCTGCTCCAGCCCTCTGATCATCTTACATTGAGAAGTTTGCAGAGGTAATACTGTCAAGAGAGGAGTTTACCTTATTAAAGTAATAAAAGAAATGAATATTAATTTTAAATTAAATAATGCTATTAAAGATTTCCTTGGTAGGAATTATCCAAAGATAATGCTGCAAAACACTGAAAACTCCACTATTTTTCCTGCTTGTGCAATAAGGACTTGGAGCTTCATCCAGAACTCTCTCAAGAGAATTGGAAAATTCAGTGTTGATTCTGAATTGCTTTCTTAAGATGCCTGCTTACTCCCAGGCCAGACATAGAGAGGCTGAATCCTAATTTGAACAGAAGGAGGAGTGACAGGGTATTGTATAGTCCTCTTTCCAAATCAAATTCAGTTGTTCCAGACCTGGGCGTGGAAAAGTTGGATGATTTTTTATTTAGAAAAAAGGTTTGGCCACTGTAAGTTGACAGCATCATGCAGGGCATTGTCTAAGGAGATCTAATTCCCAAATACCATCATGTCAGGTCAAAGATGCCCAGTTCCATTGTCCTTGGCTGCCACTCAGGACCTGGCCCAGTTGGTGGTGCCCCAGATCTCATGGTGAAACACCCTGTACTGGCTCTTGGCATCTCCTGTGGTCTTTGGTGCAACCAGATTGTTGAACTTCTCTGCAGACAACAAGTGACCAGGCAAAATTAGTGTTTTCATTATTGGTGAATCTCTGGGAATTTCAAATGTGGCAAATTGCAACAGCAGCAGAACAGTTGGGCTTTGCCTTGTGGCTGTGATGTCCTCAAGTGCCCACCTCTGGTCACCCCTCTAGCTCTTCTGGATCATCCAAAAGGAACAAAGGAGCCACAACATTGAGTTTAGGTCAAATGTTACTGGTTTGGTTGTTAGGAAGTGAGTCCACAGCATTTCAGCTGCATGCTGCCCATTCCCTGTGTTCCTTATAAAAATCCATGTCTTAACATGAGTGCTTGCATGTGTGTTCTCTGTTGGCAGTGTGCACATGTCTGTCAGATATGGGTGTAAATATAACTGCTTACGTGTCACACGTGGCATATGCAGACTCCTGGGAGTGCCGGTGTGTATGTGTATGTATAAAACAGAAACTCTCAGCTCCAGAGTCTCTCCAGCTCACTTGCAGTCATTTGGTTTGCTTACAGGTCTTCCCAGTGTGGCCTTGTCTGCTCCTCTGCTGTTACTGAGCCAACCAAGTCATTATTATCCTGTAGGCACAGCAAACTGCCCTTGTGTTACTGAGTCCTGCATATGGAGAGATCCCCACGTTGTGTGTTAAGTGAAAAACTGCCGAATTTGAGATGTAAAACACATCAAAGGGCAAAGACAGGAAGGGAAGATAATGGAAGTTGCATGTCCTGTCTGTGTGGGACAAGCTTAGCCAGTGTTGCTCCTCAGTTCTCAAAGGGCATTGAATTATGGCTTTATTCTTTTTCTGGTAAAGAGAGTGACTGCTGCTGGATGCAGTTATCAACCCAGTGGAAAAGGGAAGCCTGTGTTACATCACAGTCACTGCTCTACTGAATACTCCTGCAGTCATTTTACTTTCTCCAAAGCAGAGTATGGAGCCTGCCATCAAATGAAGTTCACTTGCTTGCTTCTTTAGCTGTTGGATGGAAATTTATTCCTATGATGTATAAACTCAGAAGCTTGGGTTGTTGGATTGTCTGCTAGACACTGGAACAGGTTGCTCAGGGAAGTTGTGGCTGCCCCATCCCTGGAAGTGTTCACGGGCAGGTTGGATGGGGCTTGGAGCAACCTGGGCTGGTGGGAGGTGTCCCTGCCCATGCAGGGGGTTGGAACTGGATGGTCTTTAAGGTCCCTTCCACCCAAAGCAGTTTGTCGTATGATAGTGACATGAAGAATTTTTTTCCCACTTGGTTTTTACACCAAACCAGCCAGTCAACATTCAGAAATAATGTGCAAAGACCTGCTGGTAGAAAAAGAGCAATCTTACCTGTATGACCTTGAAGTGTTGTTAATGAAGACTTGAGCCCTCCTTATGAAACATACAATGGATAGCATACATCACTGATGTGGGATTTCAACTAAATAGATACTGTGGGGTGAAGAATTCTTTCTCATTTATCTATTATAATTACCAGCCATGCAGGTACCAGGCACACTGGGGTTAGAGACTCCTGGACATCTGGTCCAATTTTGGACTGCAGTGTAGGTGGGGTAAGGGAGAGGCAGAAGCTGTGCACATGTTCAGTGTTTGACGTTTGGAGTTATATTATCTTTGTAACTACAGCATCTTCTAAGCTGTGAACTAACAGGAATGGTACTTAAGGGGCTGTGTGATGAAGATATAAGCAGCAGCAAAAGATACCCAGGAGACAGTAGGATTCGTGGCCCTTTTCTCCAGGGGAGGAGGAGAGACTGCGTGAGGAACAAACTCCCCAACAGAGAGCTGTGCTGAATGAATGTTACACACACGAGAGTCACTAAAAATACCAAATGGAAGGATTTAATGAATGCAGTGAGTGAGTGGGAAGGTGCTCCCTGTAGGTTTGGAAGTCTCACCTCTGGAGGATTTTCAGACCACCTTCTGTTTAATCATCTTGTAGGGAGTTTCTAACAACAAGGTTTGTGGGGAACAGTCCATATTCTCTCCCTCACATAAGACTAAACAAAGCTAAGCCCTAATTATTATACCTTGCTGTCAAAAAAACAAATTGTCATAACTGGTCCATCTGTAAGGACTAGGATCATAGAGCCACCTATTACTGAACAAACTGTTGTTCATTTCTTTCCTGCTTGGGGACCTGTCAACACACGTGGCCATCTCTGTCTAACTTTTAGTAATGTTTGATCAAACAGGATTGGTTCAGAATGCAAATGGATTTTCATTTCTTTATAACCTGCAGTTGAATTGCAGTGAGGTAGACCTTGGGCATACAGCAGAGTAATTATTTTTATTCCTCTGGAGTCCTGCTCCTGCCCCCATGGTCTTCTGATCCAAATTTGTAGAGGAGCCTCTGTGCCTGTTACAGATCGCAGCCTCCAGAAGTGATTAAAGTACATCCTCATCAAATGAGTCTGTTTACTTCTTTTCTGCTCCTTCTCCCTTTCCCCTCTTTACCTCCCTTTTGCCTCCAAAAGGAGTTCTCCCCAGCTTCTGTCCACAAACTATTAAAACAGCCTGAACTCCGGTTTACCAGGCTGCTTGCCATTGCCCAGTAAAGCACTTGGTAACAGGGAACTGACCTGTTTTGCTGAGATCTCTGCATAAAATTAAACCCAGGTGATGGGATGTGTCTTGAGACCTCCCTCGCAGCCTGAGAGCTCTGAAGGTTGCAAGCCCTGGTGGCTGTGCCCAGGCTGTGGACTGGCACATCTTTATTTGCACTCCTTTACTTCAGGGTTTGAACAGTATAGCTGTCAACAGTATTATTTTGTTGTGCATTTAGTCATTTTACCCTTAAAATTGGCAGAAGAATGAGTAAGGTTTCTCTGTCTTTAGATTATTTAGAACTCTGAATACTTTATTAATCATAAACTTGCCCCAAGCCCCTTTATTCTTGCTGTTTTCCTTATGCTTTATGTCTGTAATTGGCAAAGGTGTAAGGGCAGCTTTTCAGAGCTGCTGACTGATGCTGCCCTAAATGCTTCCCCTCCAGATATTGCCTTTGCCAGTCAGCAGCATTCCCCCAGATTTATCCAAAGGGGTGCCAGGCATCAAATACTCAGTGGCAGAACTTTTGGAGTGTGATTCAAATGGGAAATTGCTGTAGAATCCCACTGAGCAAAACTCCACTGTAGGAAATGTTGAAATGGTAATAATATTCACTGTTATTAAAAAGCTGGAAGACAAAACCAAGTAATTCCATGAAAAGCCAAACCTAAAAAACTGGAGTTGCTTTTAAGAGATGTTTTAAGGTTCAGAGCTCTTGTAATAAGGGGTAGAGCTCACCCTGGTTTCCCTGCCTCATGGGGTCAGTAAGGGAGCAATGACTGAATAACAGTAATAGAACATAGCAGTACTGGGCAGGGTCTCTGCTCTACCAGGTGGTTTATTTTAAGGAGAGTTACCAGGGAAAGAAGGTGAGGGCCAGATGGACATGCTCACAACTCTCATGTCTTCAGAGAAGATCTATTCAAGGACTAACCATGGTGCCTTCTCATCTGCTTTGGCCATTCTTCTGATAAGCAATGTCCAAAATTAATGTTACTGAAAGAAAAATCGAGGCAACAAAATGTTACTCCCTTTAAGCTTTTTGTTCTGTTCCATTTGTCAAACCAAATTAGGGATGTGCCTGGAAAACAAGGGGCTCTCCAAGCAGAGGAAGCCATGGATGGAGCCCGGCAGCCTGCACTGTAGCAGGTTGTGCTTCTGTGACTCAGGAGATCATTTCAGTGGTTTCTTTGTGATCATTTAGGGACTGATTTTGCCAAATAAATGTACAGATGATATTACCTACACTCACCATTTTATCAGCGCTGGTTTATGGCCTCAAATCTTGGGAGTCATGCGATTAACTATTGGGCAAATCCGATTTGTTTCCTAAAAATTGATGTAACCCTAGCATGGTTGCACAGGGACGCTGGGAAATGGATCCCTGGGAGACAAGGTATGGATGACCCGTTACATATTTTGCTACAGGGACAGAAGGAAGCAAAGGCAGAGGTGGGGATGTTTGGGGAGGGAGGCCTTTTTGAGCGCACTCGAACCAGCTCAGCTTCTGTGTACTTGCTTTTCTGTCAGTGGAAACTTTCTCCTTGTGATAGAAGTATTAGGAGAAGGCCTTGAGGGTTAAGGATGCTGCTGGAAATGACTTTTGGGTTGGGTTGGGTTTCACGTTGTCGTGGTCCTTGATGAAGACAAAGCAGGGCTGGTTTCGCCGCTCAGCTGAACTGTCCCCTTTTGTCGTTGCAGATAAAGAGTTGGGAGTCAGCACGCCAGCTGAACATGCCGACCCTGGTGCTAGGGGCCCAGCTGTCCCCAAAATATCAGGATTAGAACGCAGCCAAGAGAAGAGCCAGGACAGCAGCAAAGACCCCATCCTTGAGCCTGTGGTGCCTAAAGACCCTTGTCCTCAGGTCACGCAACCTCTGGCCCCGCCGGAGC